GTCAATAGCATGATCATTGAAAATTTCACCACATTTGGCATTCGGCAGTAACATATGGTCAGTTTGGTTTGATGGGGACGGAAGCATGTAAAGATAGATAGGCAGACCTAGGTACATACAATTTACCAGCGAATGGGTCACTCTGCCGATTCGGCCCGATACACTAATCCACAGATGCACTGTTCACATTTAGACTACTGGTATCCGGAAGGGCGTCTGCCTATTCTTCCTTGTAGTAGCGTAATTTAAGATAAAGACCTTTTAAAAAAATTGACTAACGCAAAAACGGTAGGCAGATAGGTTAAGATCATGTAAACACTTACCCAAGTGAAAAGTAGAAGGAGAGGGAGATAAGTTTCAGGTTATTTTTGTTCCAAGTAGATATAAGACCAACGCTTAGGGCTAATGCGCCTAAAAGAGAAAAGTTAAAATGCTCAAACAGTGCGTTAAAAAATGCTTTTATTTGAATTTGACAACACAAAAAAAGTACATAAACATTTGAGTATAACGCCTATGGTTTTTTGCTGTAGCATTATTATTTGCCTTACAAACATTACTAAAATACAATTGTTTCTTTACTGCTGTTTTGTTTTTTCCTGTGCTTCTCTGGATATATATTTTTCTTTGTTTGACTACACAAACAAGTCATTCTCACATAACTTTGCGCACTGAGCGAAGTTGTGTTTCAGTAAGCATGTTTTAACTTGTAGTGTGCGGCAAGGATCTTTTTATCAAACTCGTTATGTGAAGGATGCAGGCGATTAGCAAGAATTGGTTGTGTTACTGGCCATCTCAATTTCACATTGATAGTCTGCATATAAGGAATAGGGTACTTCCCCGAGTTAAAAGTCGTGTTCTGTGTTGAACGTGGCGAATAACCGAATGTGATCATTTGCCATGAGTTTTCATTCGTTGCATTTGGCTTTCCTTTGTTAGGAGTGGAATCTGTTGGCGACTTTGCTAAATGTGTCTTCATTACCTGGACTTGTCGGAGAACAGAATCGCCTGACTTTCGTAGAACCTTTGGAAAGGGGGAATGTAGAACGTCTGTCTATACTAGGTAATCGCTGGTATGTCGTGTCAAATAATATTGATGCGTAGATATGGTTCTGAGTGATGAGAGTTGCGTAATCGACCTCCCTATTATTATACATAGACAATCACAAACGAATGCTTGATTTGGCATTGCCTCACTCGCCGTCTTCATAGGTGACACGTTGTGCATGTTGGTGACAATCTTTTCATCTTTAAAGACGGAAAGGTAATTTGTGGAGAATGAAGGAGGCGGTGAAAAGAGCCCGATAACCCGCATCCTGATGCTTATTGGATCTCTAGCTAGGGCTTCCTCTACCAGGAGTGCTCTGCGGTTAGTCGCCGAGATTGCACTCATAGCTGTTTGAGACTCGGCCTGCTATCCTTTTCACTCCTAGACAAGTATTCATAGCCATTCTTGCCAGCTCACCGTAATTTCAAAATGACAGCATTACTGTTCAATGCTTTATTTTTAGACCCACTTTGTTCCCGTATGCTCTGTTGTTTTTCGCTGCTTGCTCACTGCAGTTCGTCTATGCCCACTTATTGCCGTGCATACCTGCATAAAAAATTTTGCAGATAATACAACTCGAACGTGAGAATGAGGTAGGCGACTCGCCTTTTAGCTGTCCTCAATAGCCAACTCACTCGTTTATGCAGTTCTGCTTACAACTTGCAAAAGTGATAAATATTTGTCAGGGTGAATGTTGGCCTTTGAAAAATATTCTGAGCAGCATGTGTGTTAAGGGGTAATATTCCAACTGCAGTTTCTTTTGGAATTCCTCCTAACCTAGCGTAGCGTTACCGATAGAAAGGGAAATTGGTGAGGATACTAAAAGGTGCTAAACTCCTTACTGTTCCCCGCGACTCGTGTATGATGAGGAAATTGAGTCGGTTTTCTCCATTTGCGTCGTGTTTTAGGCACTGGTGGGATTAATCATATGGTTAACCTGGGTCCTTCATGATTTTCGCACTCACCCACCGCTCTTCGATTTTCGGTCCGGCGGAAAGGTAGTGCCGTGATGGGTCTCGCCTCGGGCCTCGAGGCCCAACGCCTCACGGTCGTGAGCTCTCCGACGACCTTATCGTGGTTGATCTCTTACGCGGCTGCTACTCTTATTAAAAGTCAGCTTCCCCTTACTTCCTGTCTTCCTTGTTTCCTCTTCCCTTACCAAAGGCCAACGTCAGTTTTGTTGCTTAGATTATTATTATTTTTATTATTGATGCGTTCAGTTGATTCGTTTATCCAACTTTGTATCAAACATAAATATGTATAATTGTGTAACGACAGCTCTTCAATCGTAACAATCATCCTCAAAATCGAAATGTGAAGAGCTCTTTCTCTAGCAATGAGCCGCGCCGGTGCGGGGTTTGCTGTGCCTGGCACCGCATAGTCATGGAGCGTTTCGTCAGTCCCGATGCTGCCACGCAACAATTGCACAACCTCTTCCTCGAGAAGATTGGCATCCCCTGTAAGGATGGTTTTCATTGACCAGCAGGTGCTTTTAGTCAGTGTACCTTATTGCCTCGCGTTTTATGTCATTCGTGGTAATCTACTCACTTTAGAGGCGTTGCTTCCCCCGTGCAAGAATATGCTCAATCTGTTAAAAATAAGCTGATCAAGTTTCCAACGTGTAGTTTCTCATAGCATTAATTTGGCTCTCCCTTACACGAGAATCCAGTAATCCCCCTCCTTTATTGCATTACTTTACGCAGTACGTTGGGAGGGTGTATTGCTTCGTGTCATGAGTTTCTTAGTTGTCCCTTGTATCGTCGGGTCCTCTAAAGCCATATCGTCATCTTCATGTGGTTGATCGCTTCTCGCTTAAATGTCGACGTAAATATTCCTGATAGAATGGTACCTCTGGTACTGGAAACATGATTTGTCGTGACTTTAATCATGCCTTGGTTTGTGGAATCTAGTCACTTATCAATTGAAGGGCTCTCTCCAAACAACGGTGTGTATCGAGTAGTAGATTGGGATTCTATCTGAATCTTGGATGCATATGAATCGAACAGGTAATGATTACCAAAGCAAAATTACCTGCAATCTGTTTTTTTTTGCTAATTTTGCTCTGATAAAAAAAATGGTTCTCATTGTGAGATTAGGTTGCCTTTTCCGCATTGTACTTTAGCAAGGCTACTAGTCCACGCGCCCTGTGTGTGACCTAAGCGAAGCTTCAAATCTTAGTTCATTTTGAATGTCAAACACAGGGTGATCCTGTTGGTGTTAGCACTGACTCAATTATGAAGGCCGACATTGCAAAATTTTTGAGGGTAGATCCTTAATTACGAATTATGTGCGCCTTATTGTTGATGTTGAGAGTGGGAATAGTAGTTGTAACTTTAAAACTCTTTGACATCTCTGGACTGGACTCTGTTGCTTTGCACAGTTGTGAAACTGACGTGACTCGTCATAAGGTATAATTTGTGAGGTCAAACAAGTAACTTCTGAGGCAATTTATTTAGCACTTGACACTCACGAAATGCATCTCTCTTTTGACTGACCTACCATTGCTGCAATTTGAGGTGTGTTCATCTGGCGTCACGTATGTGTGACACACATTCTTCCTACAAAATTTCCCCCAAAACCTTTTGCGGCGGCCTTCAGCACATCCATTCAAAATAATTGACTTGATAAACGAAACTTGATTGTTTTAATTAAACGAAATGCGAAGAATAGTGGAAGTGGAGTGCTAATGACGAAAGAATGAAGGTAGACAGCGTTAAATCTGCCAAATTGAAGGCTGCAAGTAGTGTGCTTTTCGCTGTAGAACGTTTTACGAGTTATGCGCCTCTTCTATGGATTAAATGGAAGGTAGCGGATCAGAGAGTCGGTTATGCAAGGTTTTGAGGATTTGCTCACAGTCTGGCGTCTTCGTCCCCTTCCACCTATCTCTGCCAATAGCGATGTGTCTGCTGACGTCGCTATCGCCACCACGATTACTGATGGAGTACATCACTTTGACTAGTTTCGTACTCAGCTCCTTTCATCGGTTCATCGCATCTCAGTTTTTTGTATCAAATGCTCTTACCATGGTAAATTGCGTCTTGTCCCCTAGTCCTGCACTATTCCCATCCCAGTGATTTAAAGCAAAAACGTCTCTTTGATTTATTTTAATTGAATAATTTTAGGTTAGTTCTTTGCTGGTATAAACGTCGCGATGACTGCACACGAAGAAAGTGTTGTCTGAAGAAACGGCGGTGTACCGCTGCTCAGTGGAGACTTGGCTGAGTGGTGAATTTTGTACACCGAAGCGTCTCACCGGAATCCACTATCCTCAGTGTCGTATGGCGATAGTGAACGACCTATCACCGCTGGTACGAGAACGCAGTTGTATTCGTTACCCCGCCAAGAACCTGTATTGTCGGTCGACTGCTTTTCCTTCGCGGCAGCAACAACACTAGTAACAACAAAGTCACCTCATGTCATCTACATTCAGCGTGCTGTGTGGGTACCACTGTAGCAAAACGCTTCCAGCGCGGATGTCTATGTTGGCAGTTTTACCGCCGGCGACATGATGTCTTAATACACCGAACCTGTCAC